CAGTGTAAATTACTTGTACCTGATGATGACAAAACCTTGTCGAAACGTTGTACATTTGCTGTTATGTTAAACTTATGTTAAAGTTTTTCTTCATTACCCATTCAAGCCATCTTCAGCCATTATTAAGCTTTTAATATGTTGTTGCACAAAATGCTTACTAAAGTATATTTACATCCGCTACTCGGTGCTATAACTGCGGACTTATAACGCCAGAAACCGGGTTTAGACACTCGTGGCGGGCAGAGTACAAATAATTCATTGTGTAGCTTTGTGCTTAACTACAAACAAACAAATATTTTCATCTGCCTTTTGCTTACATCCGTTGAAATGAAAGAAAATAGTGCATGCGCATTTAGATAGTAAGGTGTGCGTGCATTTTTAGGACATACAAAAACTGATTATTATTGATAAAGAGTAGTTTACATTGTGCATCACACTTTGTGTCCAGTCCACTTATTTCGTTGCACAGACTCGGTTATCTTAAAGTAACTCAGTATTACTAACCAGCTTACCTTGTCGAGCCTCTCGTTATATAGCTGACTTACCTAATTTATTCTTTTTATTTATTTATTTATTTATTTATTCTTTCGAAAAATCAGAGTACCTGAAAGTAACACACAAGTGCCAAACCCACTTAGTCATTCCTCTTAGAAAACCTTATTAAAAACAATTATTCAGTTCAACATTTTACCAAGTATGTACTGTATAACAGGCAAGAAAAAGTTATCGCTAGTATTTAATGGCAACCAGGGTCGTACTATCTTGGAAGTGTTTAAGTGACAAGATCAAAGTTTTGCCTCTGAACCATTTGGGGGAGGGGGATCATGACTTATTGACATGCTAATCCGAAGTGTTATGCGGTTTTTAAAGATGATATATAATAGAAATGAAGCGATATAACATTTAATTTGTAGTACAACATTACAATAACACTATAACTTAGTCTGACAGGAGATTGAAACTTGTACATAAGAATTTATATAACTCTTTTCGCTTTGTCAGGAAATGTAAGACATCTTCTCATGGGTAACTAAAACAACATCAGAATGCTTCTAAATATTGACATCCTTGTCTTTTCTTAGGTAGGTGATGCTGCCGAATATTAATCGCTTTTGGAAAGCGGTTGTGTTCAGATCGGATATTTAGAACTTCCAAGACGGGAATATCCCTTTTATTTAATGTCGTTGGAAAACAAAGGAATATGGATCAACTTCGACAACCAGGACCTTCCAGAAAGAGACATACAACAAGTCGTACCTCAGTCGTGGTAAGCAAAGTGTGTAGGCTTGAAACAGATAAGAATTCACAAACACAGAAGTCAGTGGCAAAATAATCCCTGTCTAGAAACGAGACCAATAGGGCATGGGTTCACCAAAATATGGCTTCAAGTCATACCTCCCTTTCAACCGTCGTATACCTCATGCAGATGGAAAATGGAAGGGGTATCCTTGTCCTTTCATAAACAGACATATCTTTGTAATTACTTTGTTGAAACGGGTGCTGGGAAAGTGTTATTCACGTACAATAAATGGATTATAGAAAGCAAACAGGGATAAATGATGTGCTTTGAACATGAAAGACTTACGAGTAATGCTTTTACAATGGAAACTGCACTATAAGGCTATTTTCGAAACGCATGTTTGTTACAGACAGCATGACTGGGCGTGGTGACATGACCTGTAACGATATGGTGAGGTTCCAGTGTTATAACGTAGTTAACCTCAACACTTTCTTGACCTATCTTTAACTTCCAAGAATATATTTAATGATCTATCTTGTTGAACTAAATATTTTATAATAGCATGTTAATTCAATTATCCCACAGTTTTCACGGCAACAATCTAATTTGTCTTTATCTGTTAACTCAGAAGAAAACAATTATATATTAGGTTACTTTTAAACCTTGAAAACCAACCAGTTTTATAGATATTCATTTTAAAAAGTGTTCAGCAAATACAAACTGTATTTATTATTTGAAAAATTTACAGGCAGAATTGTAGCAGAGTAACGCTCCAGCACCTGAAATCCAGAAATGGAAGTTAGCAGTCTGGTGGTTACGTCACACATTTAACAGAAATTTTGGCAGAGCTATAGCACTATAAAATTTAGCAATACACTACTGCTTTTTCTAACTTATAGTTTATAAAATAGATAATAGATGCCGCCACATTTAAGATAAAAAACATATGGAAAAAAAATGCACGTAACGAAACATTAGCTTAGCACATACATCCCAAAATACCTTGAGTTAACTCACAGTAAAAAAAAAAAAATATTAAATTACATAAACATACGGAATGTTCATACGTTATCAGTACCTTCATTATAGTGAATATTATTAACAAAAACTACTTGGTTACCTTTATCGTTTTAGTTATAACAATATTTTCATTGTTTCTAAAGGTCATAAAATCTCGAATTTTATTTTCATCAACATTACGTTTATTAACAGTGTACTTTTTTTACTAAATTAATTCCAAACTAATCTGTACCCCTTCATTTTGATGTTTTGCCTAAAACTAGCATACAATACCAGCGTTTCGCTGTGGGGTTTAAAGGCCTCCTCATGATTCACAGAGATTCCAATGTACCTATCAAGCTCCTCAATTACCACCGGTTACTTGTATATCTATCCCAAGGAGGTCTGTATTTGAAAATAGACCCCTTTGAGACACCTGTCTGTGGCACCCGATTACGTGTGCCACGCTTGGTCTTGCTAGCTTATGAGTTGGGGTATGAACATAATTTTAAAAGTGGCGCCCTTTAAATCCCAAGGGGAGCCAGGAACACTAAATACGATCCCATATTCGGGTTCAACGGCCCTGAAAAACTACTACTAAACCCTCATCATACCTGAATGACCTTCTGGGCGCGTTTTAACCCACTTTGGTAGAGGGGCTACGCAACATAAATAAGGACAGTCCTCGGGCTACCCCAAATCCGTCTGCCAAGTTTGATTCTGCTAGCCTCAAAACTGGGAGGAGTTCGTTGAAACATACAATGTGAAATGATACAGGATACATAAAGAGAGTATTCGTTATCGTCCGATTGTTTCTGTGTTAATTCTTCGTCACATTGTATTAGTAAATACAAAGTTTTATAACAATAAAACGGAATAAAAGGTATTATACAGTTTATTAATGTATTTCTAAAACTAAACCAGGATGACATTATGGTTTCTTTTGATTGATTTCTTCATACTTACTTTTTTTTTCCAAAATATATTATAATATAGGATTATCATTATTATATTATTTGTAATTAAGCACAAAGCTACACAAGTGGATATTTCTGCTCTGCCCACCACGGGTATCGAAACCCAGTTCCTAGCGTTGTAAGTTCACAGACATACCCCCTGCCACTGGTGGTGGTGGGGGGGAATATGATAGGAAAATAGTTTCTAAATATACTGTTTGCTTCATTGCTTACATTCTGCAAAATAAATTAATATTCATCCTTCTATCATAAAAATAACATTTGTCAAGTGTGTTTGTTTGTTTTTC